TAACCAGTAATAGTAGTAGTTACAGTTTTGGGTAAGATTGGGTTCAATAGAGTGACCTATTATCCAGTAAAGTCTTAAAAGGCTTTTTTATTTGGGACCTTTAATTTCTTGTGGGGTATAGTGTCGAGATCTTTCTCATATTTCAGGAAAATAGTTCACTTAGTCCTGCCTTTCCTGTTTTACTTGTTATACTGTCTTAAAACTCCGGCAAGCTCGTGAGAAGGATTTCCTGTTTTGTACCTTGGTTTCCGCTGGTAGCGGCCTCAGCTCACACACCGAGGGATCGGGGTTCGATTCGTGGAAGGGTTTAAACGTTGGGCATGTTTTCTTATGCCTGTTGCCACTGTTCACCTAGCAGTAAGTAGGTACTTGGGTGATAGCCGACTGTTGTGGATCGCACCCTGGGCGAGATGATTAAAAGATCCCAGTGGAAATGAGCTGGTCTGACGGCAGTTGCCCTTACTGAGTTAACCTGGGTTACTACCCTTTGGATTAATAATTATTAATAATAATCATCATCAAGTGTTCCATTTGCTTTTTCACTGCCTTCTCGATTGGGGAAATTATAATTATATATAAGTGATACTAGATTATAGTTCAGTGACTTCATTGTTTGATTACTGGAACATTATATTGTATTGCATGAGGCACTAGACCTGTGTGGGTTAATCAGCGCATGCAGAGATGGAGGCTCGATCCTTCTCCTGCTAATGGTGTCTTTGATCAACCAGGCTATTGGTGATTGCCAGTGGAACAAGGTTCACCATTTTCCAGGTTTCCGACAGCCTGCCCATCTGAAGTCAACTCGTTGAACAGCCATACTCAAAGACTGTGCCCTGTCTGAGCACGCACGGTGACACCCCAGTTGTACAGGCGAAAAGTCTGAATTAATTAAGTTTGCAGCCACGCTGAAAGAAAAGGGTTAAGGGAGTTAAGCCTCCCCCCAGAGGAAAATGCCTTTGTTTCAATTAATGGCTAATTTACACCATTATATTGACTAGCGCCCACAAGAACGATAGTTCAACTAATTTCACATACTTAAAAAATCATGTTTTTAAAGATAATATCTTCGATTTTTTCCGCATCTTATTTTTAAGCTCCCCCCCCCCCCCCCCCCCCCCGATTGAAATCCTGACTTAAGCTTTATATCTAATTCGTCGGTATTCCCACACCAAATACTGTTACATGACCACTCTTAATGCACTTTACGCAGCTTAATTTTTTTCCATACTTCTTAATTATTTTTGTGTTGGATCTGTTGCTGTAATCTGTCGCTTGTACTCTGTAGTACGTATTTTCTTCGTATTGTTAGCAAAAACTAGCGGTAAACCCGTACGAGTCATACAACACTAACTCATGAAATCATTCTGGCTCGACTACTTTCTTCCCATCTTATGTCTCCAAAATGAACCAAATTGTTATGTCCACTAAGAAACGCAATCAGATTTTGATCTAGGAAAAGGGAAGGGCAGCTCTCCATTTCGACCAAGACCTTTTATTTTTTTATCCCTTTTTTTGTGTTATCTCTACACCTTAATGCTATTACATCGTTTATTTTCCTACAGTATTGTTCTGCGAAACATCTATGAATTACTTTTCTAATTGTCTGTGCAATTTCCAATGTAAATTAACTATTTTTGTCAGACAGTTTACTCAGTGAATGATTCTTGCCGCAGGTTTGACCATGAAGTGCCACCTGGCCCTCTTGCTTCTTGTGGGCTTCCTGGCACCCTCTGCCCGGGCCACTTTCATGACCCAAGAGAACACCTTTGTAAGCATTTACCATTATGACGTTTAACACGATAAAAATAATAATAATAATATTATTATTGTTATTATTATCACAACCATCAATATTATTATTAGTATTACTAGTAATAGTAGCAGTTGCAATAATAATACTGTAGTAGTAATAGTAAAGTAGTAACAGTATTAATAATGACAATAACAATGTTTATTTCCTTGTAAAGCTTACAGTGTATGGTTTACATGCTATAAAATATTAATTACAAAGAAGGCCACTAACATGCCTAGGAATTTCGGGCAGACTAATACTAATTCATACTCTATATTGACATAGGTTATGAAGCATTACATTTGAACATACATTATAAGATACATACATAATTAGACTTACATAGTGAGGTAGTATTACAAATGGTAAAGTTAGTAAGTTTATTCAGTAATGGGATTGGATTTGTCTTGGCATGATACACTGTTTCTATTATAGTTCCTATATTGGAAGAGTATATTAGGCAAATTTAGCACTAACTTTAGATTTAATATGCAATAGCTGTATATTAAGAATTTTTTCTTTACAATCATTTGGGTGAGTGTATGTGTAAATAGGGGGAATTACAGATAACGAGAGTAAGACTATATTGTTTTGGATGTGTTCATGATGAAAAATATGAGAATTAGGTGGTTTTTCATTTGGTTAGCTGATGATGGGGTGTGTTAAGGAGATATGACGTTTTTTAACGGTAGTTTTGAAAATGATGGTCGAGTTTGTGGTTCTAGAGTTTTCAGGTAGAGAGTTCCAGATTCTAAGTCCTTTTATGTACATCAAATTTTTGTAGAGGTTTAGCCGGACACGAGGAATGTTATGGAGATTTTTGTGTCTGGTATTGTGTGCACGCCTATTTGTGGTTGAAGGGGTCGAGTCTTAGCTCCTGGCCCCGCCTCTTCACCGGTTGCTACTGGGTCCTCTCCCTGCTCCATGAGCTTTATCATACCTCGTCTTAAAACTATGTATGGTTCCTGCCTCCACTACGTCACTTTCTAGGCTATTCCACTGCCTGACAACTTTATGACTGAAGAAATACTTCCTAATATCTCTCTGACTCGTCTGTGTCTTCAGCTTCCAATTGTGACCTCGTGTTTCTGTGTCCCTTCCCTGGAACATCCTGTCTTTGTCCACCTTGTCTATTCCATGCAGTATTTTATATGTCGTTATCATGTCTCCCCTGACCCTCCTATGGGTCCTGTTGCAACTATCAAGAAAGTGTTTTAGTTCAGGGTTAATATTAAAATTTATGGTTCTGTAGATGTAGGTTGCACAGTAGTAGGTGTGAATATTCTGTATAGTGAGCAGGTTTAGGTCTTTGAAGAGTGGTGGGGGGGTTGTCTACCTGGAGGTTATTCCGGGGATCAACGCCCCCGCGGTCCGGTCCATGACCAGGCCTCCCAGTGGATCAGGACCTGATCAACCAGGCTGTTACTGCTGGCCACACGCAGTCCAACGTACGAGCCACAGCCCAGCTGATTCGGCACTGACTTTAGGTATTTGTCCAGCTCTCTCTTGAAGGCAGCCAGGGTTTTTTTTTATTAATTCCCCTAATGCTTGATGGGAGGCTGTTGAACAGTCTTGGGCCCCGGACACTTAGGGTGTTTTCTCTTAGTGTACCAATGGCGCCCCTACTTTTAATTGGGGGTATTTTGCATCACCTGCCCAGTCTTTTACTTTCGTAGGGAGTGATTCCTGTGTGCAGATTCGGGACCATTCCTTCCAGAATTTTCCAAGTGTAGATTATGAAATATCTCTTTTGATATATCTCTCTCTAGTCTAGCATTAGATTGTGTGATCATTTTTACTGCGGCTTTCTGTTGGGTTATTATCGGCTTTAGGCGAATTGCTGCTGTTGATCCCCAGGCATAAATAGCATAGGTGAGGTAGGGATAGATGAGTGAATAGTATAGTGTGAGTAGGGTTGATTGTGGTATGTAGTAATGTATCTTGGAGAGGATCCCAACTGTTTTAGATATGTTTTTTGTTATTAGTTATATTGCTGCACACTAACAGCACCTTTCGAGGCAGATGAAATTGCTGACCTAGAAAATGTACAGAGAACCTTCACGGCGCGCATAATGGAGATAAAACACCTCAATTACTTGGAGCGCTTGAAGTTCCTGAACCTGTACTCCCTGGAACCCAGGCGGGAGAGATACATGATTATATACACATGGAAAAAAAGGGGGATTACCAGTAGACCCCTGGCTGTCTTCAAGCAAGCACCTAAAGTCGGTACCTGACCAGCCGGGCTGTGGCTCGTACGTTGGATTGCGTGCAGCCAGCAGTAACAGCCTAGTTGATCAGGCTCTGATCCACCAGGAGGCCTGGTCACAGACTGGGCCACGGGGGCATTGACCCCTGGAACTCTCTCCAGGTAAACTCCAGGATATGGGTGCTGAATTTCAGGTTGGTGTCAAGGTGGAAGGCCAGGAATTTGCCCTCATTACGTTTAGCAATTAGAGTGTTGTCAATCATTATGTTCTGCTGGGCAATGCCTGTTCTGTTCCCCAACATAATGAAGGTTTTGTCAGTATGTCAGTAGTAGTAGTAGCAGCAATAATGGTAACAGTAGTGGAAGTCATATTCAGAGTATTACTGTATACATATTTCATCCAAACCTCTTCACACCATTTAATGCAGTTTTGAGCAAACCCCATGAATAGATTTACTAAAAAAATCTTACCCTGGCTGTCACCACGTTAGAGCTACTTACAACCTCTCTTGCCTTTACAGTACCAGCTGGACTGCCCAGGAGGTGGTGACATGGCCTATTTCTTGCTGCATGGGGTGAAAAATGCTCTGCCTGTCTTCTACACCAATGAAGAACTTGCGTCTTCCCCAATGGCAGCATTATATTTAAGGTACTGATACTTAGTGTCCGTTTTTTTCAGTCATCAGTGTTTGATAAGTTGCTCGTAAATGGTATACAATACCAACATGATGAAGAATTAGACACGTGCAACATCTGGGTATCTTTATTTGTAGACGTTTTGCCAACCAGTGGCTTTATCAGTACACTATAAGGACATAATGTGAAGGCTTATATTACACCATTTATGTACAACTTGTCAAACATTGCAACATCATGGATTCTTGGTACAGGAGGCCCTCCACATTCGGGAGGGTTAGGGGATCAAGAACCGCACAAATCTCGAAAATTCGCGAATGTTTGTTGCGCAAATATGGTGTAGGGAAATATAATAATAGCATTTACTTAGCCTAACAGTACTGCTTCATTAACCTATTGAACCACGAACAACCATAAAACACATGAAAACATCGTAAAATATCATATATACATGTCATGGTTCAATAAATAATGCAGCTGGGCATTCGCGAATGTTTGAAGCTTGCATAAGTGGAACTTGCGAGAGTGGAGGGCTAACTATACAGGGGATATCTACACAACCTTCTTGTTTACTGCTTGCCCATTCCTTGGGTATAAACTACTTCCACTGGGGAATCCAGCCTACCAGTGACAATGATTTCATCTGCTACACATCCTTCATCTCTCGCCAGTACATAAGCATCAGGCTTATACTATATGTACTGTGCTTCACTTCCTTCAAGACTATGGTGCTTTTCACTAACTCCTAGGCTGAGAAACTGATTACCTCATCTTTGTATATAAGGCTTCACATTATGTCCTTATACTGATAAAGCCACTGGTTGGCAAAATGTCTACAAATAAAGATACCCAGATGTTGCATATGTGTCTAATTCTTCATCTTATCAGTGTTGTATGCCAGTTACGTACAGCTGTTAGCCTGTCTTAGCTTGGCACTGTTGTGCATTATTTGTGGCATTAACTTAATTTAATATTAACCCTTTCAGTGTCGGTCCCTTAGTACCGCAGCTTGAGAGCCAGTGTCAGTCCCGTAGTACTACACCAAAATTCTTGTGCCTTCAAATCTGGTAGGCCTACATATGAAAGAATGGGTCTGCGTGGTCAGTGTGTGCAGTATAAAAAAAATCCTGCAGAATACAGTGCATAATAAAAAAAAAACTCTCACCATGTTTTTGGTTTAAAACCACGAATTTCCTGTGTATTATGCTGGAAGTCCAAGCCTCTCGCACACAAAACCTCCTATACCCCCTCCCTCCAACCTTTCCTAGGCCGACCCCTACCCCGCCTTCCTTCCACTACAGACTGATACACACAGAATGACTTCAAGAGTGTATCAGTCTGTAGTGGAAGGAAGGCGGGGTAGGGGTCGGCCTAGGAAAGGTTGGAGGGAGGGGGTAAAGGAGGTTTTGTGTGCGAGGGGCTTGGACTTCCAGCAGCATGCTGAGCGTGTTTGATAGGAGTGAATGGAGACAAATGGTTTTTAATACTTGACGTGCTGTTGGAGTGTGAGCAAAGTAACATTTATGAAGGGGTTCAGGGAAACCGGCAGGCCGGACTTGAGTCCTGGAGATGGGAAGTACAGTGCTTGCACTCTGAAGGAGGGGTGTTAATGTTGCAGTTTAAAAACTGTAGTGTAAAGCACCCTTCTGGCAAGACAGTGATTGAGCGAATGATGGTGAAAGTTTTTCTTTTTCGGGCCACCCTGCCTTGGTGGGAATCGGCCAGTGTGATAATAAAAAAATATAATTTATGGTTGTATTCTCATTTTCTTTGTCTCATTTGATAGACTGGAAAATACATTACAGAAACGAAGATGGTTTTGATTGGTTTCACGATGAAAAGCACCTTGAAATTGACCTCAAAGTAGCGGAAATGTTCGATTGTTGCCGATGTTCTAGAGTAAATAAATGACATCACTGTCCAATACGTGTCCAACTGGCTAGTGTAATATGCATTCACGAATGGGTTGACATTATTTATACAATTATTATAATAATGCAGTAGTCTGCATAACAGTAAATCTTCTATTTTTTGTGAGAATAAAAATTCAAAATAGAAAGCAAGAGTAATATAAGAGGGGCCTGGAACCGTGACTAATGAACAGAGAAAATGTTATTTTAGTACCAGGAATGTCTGCCTTGTTTATTCTGGACCCTATTTTGAAATTGGCATCTTTTGAAATTTGTGTGAAATTGGCCAAAATGCCAATTTCTGACCACTATTGGGTAACCAAAATCAGTAAATGGGCAGTATCTTGTACTCAATCGGTAGAACAAATGGAGTTCTAATGAAATAGGTATGATTTTAGTTGACTGGAACAATGGAATTGGCTGAAAATAGGGCTCAAAGTGGAGGAAATCACCGATACGTAAGTATCACCGAGAGCACTAACGTCACGAGAGCATAATTTCATAAGTTTTCCATCAAATTTTGTACTTTTGGGGTCATTACCATCGGAAAAAGATTATCATTTCATAAGAAAAAAAATCTTTTTTTTATGAGATTATTTTTTTTTTTAAGTTTTCAAAACTGAGAGTGAGTTAAGGATCAGGGGTCTTGATACTGAAAGGGTTAAGACACTTACCTACTGGAAAGACAGTGAGGTTGAGCTTTAAAAATTTTTTAGTTTTTGAGTCAGTATTTCAAAATTGGTCATATAAATTTACTTTCAGTCTAGTATGCATTTATCCTGTTGATATACATATACGGTAGTCCCCCTGTATCCACAGCTGATACATTCCAAGACCTACCATTGATACCCATAATTGCTATAGTAGCAAACCCTATATAAGCAATTTTTCATTTTCAAACTTACCTATGATAAAGTTCAGTTGATAAATTATGCACAATTAGTGGGGAATTAGCACTTTTTCACTGATGGGAAGCACATTGCAGCTTCTCTTAGGCTCTAAAGCACCACCATCATCACTACTATTGTGCCTTGGCATCATTATTAACCCGTAAACGGTCCAAGCAGATCTACGCTCATATGCGTAGTGCTCCAAAAGTAGATTACATTTTTTTTTTACATATTTTTAAATATAACAAAAAAAAATGTAGATCAAAGTTTTTTTACATGTTTTCAAATGTAAAAAAAGAAAAAAGATCTACTTTTTTTACATACTTTCAAATGTTGAAAAAACGTATATATACGTTTGGACCGTTTACGGGTTAAGCAAAATTAAGGGTTATTTTTAGACCACGGTAAATTGTGCATGATTGAAACCGAATCTGCAGAAACAGGTGTTTTACTGTACTGTACATATATATTGAGGCTGTGTTCTTTAAGTCAGTTCCATATCTAAATATTTTAACTTTAGCACATAAGGATTTCAGATTTAACAGACAAAAATCCTTTGTCCTTTATTTCCATAATATTCCCCTCTAGTTACAGGCACGGAAAACAACCTCATCATTTGGATTTAAGCATTACAGGAGACCTCTATCCTCCATGTTAGTCCATTAATATGAGATTTCACTGCATTTTAAACTTGCTACTGCAAACACACAGTAATTGATGTGTAGATTTTTCAGGTTTGTAGCTCTTTAATGGTAACTTTGATAACTAACTGGCTGTTACATAGTAACCAGTGGACTGAATAATTAGTGGCTTTTCAAATAGCTGGTACCTTTCTTTGTAATAGATGCAAGCTCTTGTTGAAAATCAAATCCATTTCCTTACATCAAAATTATTTTTTTGAGAATTTTAATAAAATTATTGATAATTTTTATTAGTAGCAGCAGCTATAGTTATAGGAGTAATTGTAATTACAGCATTTTTTTTTTTTTTTTTTTTTTTTCAACAAGTCGGCCGTCTCCCACCGAGGCAGGGTGACCCAAAAAAGAAAGAAAATCCCCAAAAAGAAAATACTTTCATCATCATTCAACACTTTCACCACACTCGCACATTATCACTGTTTTTGCAGAGGTGCTCAGAATACAACAGTCTAGAAGCATACACATATAAAGATACACAACATATCCCTCCAAACTGCCAATATCCCAAACCCCTTCTTTAAAGTGCAGGCATTGTACTTCCCATTTCCAGGACTCAAGTCCGACTATATGAAAATAACCGGTTTCCCTGAATCCCTTCACTAAATATTACCCTGCTCACACTCCAACAGATCGTCAGGTCCCAAGTACCATTCGTCTCCATTCACTCCTATCTAACACGCTCACGCACGCTTGCTGGAAGTCCAAGCCCCTTACCCACAAAACCTCCTTTACCCCCTCTCTCCAACCCTTTCGAGGACAACCCCTACCCCCGCCTTCCTTCCCCTATAGATTTATATGCTTTCCATGTCATTCTACTTTGATCCATTCTCTCTAAATGACCAAACCACCTCAACAACCCCTCCTCTGCCCTCTGACTAATACTTTTATTAACTCCACACCTTCTCCTAATTTCCACACTCCGAATTTTCTGCATAATATTTACACCACACATTGCCCTTAAACATGACATCTCCCACTGCCTCCAACCGTCTCCTCGCTGCTGCATTTACCACCCAAGCTTCACACCCATATAAGAGTGTTGGTACTACTATACTTTCATACATACCCTTCTTTGCCTCCATAGATAACGTTTTTTGACTCCACATATACCTCAACGCACCACTCACCTTTTTTCCCTCATCAATTCTATGATTAACCTCATCCTTCATAAATCCATCCGCCGACACGTCAACTCCCAAGTATCTGAAAACATTCACTTCTTCCATACTCCTCCTCCCCAATTTGATATCCAATTTTTCTTTATCCAAATCATTTGACACCCTCATCACCTTACTCTTTTCTATGTTCACTTTCAACTTTCTACCTTTACACACATTCCCAAACTCATCCACTAACCTTTGCAATTTTTCTTTAGAATCTCCCATAAGCACAGTATCATCAGCAAAAAGTAACTGTGTCAATTCCCATTTTGAATTTGATTCCCCATAATTTAATCCCACCCCTCTCCCATTTTATTATTATTATTATTATTATTATTATTATTATTATTATTATTATTATTATTACTATTATTATTATGATTATTATTACTATTATTATTATGATTATGATTATGATTCACAGAAGGTCCCCAATAAATGATGATCCAAACATACAATATTAGCATTTTGGAACCAAGTACATAATTACAAACATACTCACCTTTACAAATGGTGAAACTTCTTATTGCTGTGAAAATATAACTTTTAGTGAGCAAGACATTAACGGTATTCACTGTAAATACTGTACTGCATACTGTCTTGAACCTCTGTTTTGTTAATTAACATGTACACATTATTAAAACATTGCTTGATATTATTTTCAGTTGAAAAGGAATGTTAAAAGTTGGGGAAATTTTTTTAGTTAAAAATATGAAATTAGATATTGTATATTTTGGCTTGGGAATACATCTTAAATTTTAACATGGATATAAATGAGGAACTAAACTACAGGTTCCAAATTTTCAGGTTAAAAAAAATTGCAGGAACTCACTAGCGTTGTAAGTGAGGGACCTGTATTATTATTATTATTATTATTATTATTATTATTATTATTATTATTATTATTATTAATATTGCTCTAGTTATCATTATTCTTACTATTGACTGACAACATCAGTGCCTTACAGTCTATCAAGGTGCACCACGAGGGGACTCACCTGTGCATGAGAAAACAGAACGGAAGCATGTTCGGCCACCCCGTCTCCGTACGTGTCCGCCCCCTTCCTCCTACTGACCTCTGGAGTGAAGTCTATCGAGTAAGTTGTGTAAAAGCCAAATTTTTGGGAGGATAGTTGGTTCCACTGCTCTTAAAAGCAGTCTGTGTGTTATCTTACATACAGTATACATGTATTTATATGTTCTCCTAACAGAATACTGTACTTTTACATTTCTAGTAATATGTACATATGTTACCTTACTACTTTTGCATACCTAGTTTCTTTCTACATGTACTATCTTCATGTTTATGTCTTAATTGCACATGTTAGGGGTTATAAGCAAGAATGATTTCTAATGTATTAAAGGAGAGCGATGTATTGTAGTATACTATAAAATGTGAGGTATGCTTATAGTACTATATAATTATACTGTAGGTGAATTCATAGAGGTAGAGTAGTCTGTATATGTGGGCATATAAATTTATACGAGTCTTGCCTCATAACTGTTATTTGAGTGTAGTAGTAGTATTTCTCTAACTCATTCAGTTCTCTCATTTAGAATTTACATTTACAACTGCATACATGTATGGATTTTGCCTCCAGTGCTTTGTGCTGTATTGCATTCCAATTTTTCCACTGCTGTCACACTGATAAAGATCTTCCTACTGTCAGTATGGTTCATTTGTGTATTAACCTCCTTATTCTGGTCCCTAACATTTAAAGAATGTATCTATCACATGTACTCTGGCTGTACTTTAATGACAGTATCTTCTGTATTGTGACCATATATCGCAATTACCTGTTATTTTGTTACATGAATACAGCCTCTTCTCACTGAGCGACATATTCATTTACTGATGCCTAAGACTTGCAACGGGCTCTCTGTATATTAGAGCTGATTTCTTCTATTCTGTTTTTTATCAATATACAGTACACTATTGTATAAACATTTAAAAATATACCAGAAATGTTATAAATGGTGCAAAGGTGACATTAAAACAATATCAAAGATGGTTGACACAAACTCACTACTATTGTAATATGCTCCTCACTTAGCAACAAATTTGTTTAACGACGTAGTCTCAGGAACGGAACTCTGTCGTTAAGTGAGGAGAGGCTGTATAAATTTGCTTCTGATGTATCCTCATCTTATAACAGTTTACAGTGGTATCCCGAGTTTCGGCCATAATTCGTTCCAGAAGGCTGTTCGAGTGCCATTACCGAACGAATTTGTTCCCATAAGGAATAATGTAAATTAGATTAGTCCATTTCTGACCCCCAAAAATACACTTGCAAAAACACAATAGTACACTTGCATAATTGTTCAACTGGGAGCTGTACGAAACTCGGGGTACCACTGTATTTTACATGTACAGTGGACTCTCAACCAACGCTGGCATCGTCTAACGATAAAATCGCCTAACGATGTGTTTCTGCGTAAAAATATTGGCTCGACCAACAGTGAAAAACTCAGGTAAGGACATTCATCCCGAACGTGTCCACCTTTCCGTCCAGCCTGAGCGCCTCAGCTGCCCTGCCTTCAGCTAGTGTGCCATTGTTTACAAGCCAGGGAGGACGGTTTCACGCATACATGCGATATATTTTGTATGTATTATTCCATTGTTTTTAGTGCTTGTAACTGCTAAATAAGCTACCATGGGCCCAAAGAAAGCTTCTAGTGCCAACCCTGTGGTAAAAAGGGTGAGAAATACTATTAAAATACTATCATACCATGGTCAGCTGTTGCTGCACCACCATCAGCTGCTGCTGTACCACAGTCAGCTGCTGCTGTACCACGGTCTGCTGCTGCTGTACCACGGTCTGCTGCTGCTGTACCACCGTCAGCTGCTGCTGCACCACCATCAGCTGCTGCTGTTGCTGCACTACCGTCAGCTGCTGCTATATCACCGTCAGCTGCTGCTGTTGCTGCACCACCATCAGCTGCTGCTGTACCACCGTCTGCTGTTGCTGCACCACCGTCAGCTGCTGCTGCACCACCATCAGCTGCTGCTGCACCACCATCAGCTGCTGCTGCACCACCATCAGCTGTACTACTCGAAGATGTGGAGAGAGTGTTGTTGGTGTGGCTTAAGGAGAAACAATTATCCGAGAAACAATTAACCCCAGAGGGTTAGCCACTCAGGATAACCCAAGAAAGTCTGTGCGTCACCAAGGACTGTCTAACTTATTTTCACTGGGGTCCTTAATCTTCTCCCCCAGGATGCAACCCACACCAGTCGACTAACACCCAAGTGAACAGGAAAAAATGCCTGTAACTAGTGCTCATATTGGTGAATTTAAGGCCAGCAAAGGTTGGTTTGAGAGATTTAAGAATCGTAGTGGCATACATAGTGTGATAAGACATGGCGAAGCTGAAGAATTCCAACCCCAACAAGTGTTCAATTGTGACGAAACAGGCCTGTTCTGGAAGAAAATGCCAAACAGGACCTACATTACTCAGGAGGAAAAGGCACTCCCAGTGTAGACAGCCTGTACTGTCTGCACAGACAGTCTATGCTGTCTGCCAGCTTAGTTCATATTTTGCGCCACTAAGGTGCTGCCCTCTGGGCCTGCTCCAGGTCTGTGGGAAGCTGGTCCCACACGCTCTCACTCTCTCACACAGCGGCCTAGCAGGAAGGCACAAGGCCTACTAGCTCTCTCTTGTGGGATGGCCCTGCCCGGGCCATGGGCACAACACACAAGCCTGTGCACCCACCATGACTTTTCAATAAAGTAAGAAGCCTCCGAAGACGTTTATAATTCACACCCCGCTTGCAGCATCACCAAACAATCTCATTAAACACCAGGACACAAGCCTATGAAAGACAGGCTAACTCTCATGTTTTGTTGTAATGCTAGTGGGGATTGCAAAGTGAAGCCTTTACTCATGTATCACTCTGAAAATCCCAGAGTGTTCAAGAAAAACTGTCTTGTCACTGATCAATAGTACTCTTCAATAAAGGTAAGTGTCATTTTATTATTTATTTATATATTAATTGTGCATGTCTCATTGTTTTCTTTGTAGGGAAATATATATTTCATGTAAAAAAAAAAATTTTTTTTAATACTTTTGGCTGTCTGGAACGGATTAATTGGATTTCCATTATTTCTTATGGGGAAAATTAAATCGGCTAACGATAAATTCGGCTAAGAGCAAGCTCTCTGAAACGGATTAATATCATTGGTCGAGGGTCCACTGTATATACAGTACTGTATTTTACATTTCACATGGCTGTGGCACTTACTAAACTCTTTTTAGAGCCTGTGAATAGGTACAATACTGTACTTTATATTGTCATTTCTACATCACATTCTTTATAATTTGTAATTGTGGCCTTGTATTCTCTATAGTGTACTATTTTTAGAAATTCCTCACTATTTTTTTTCATATCCTTTTAATGACTTATATGTCCTCTAATAAAATAATTTATGATACCTTCAATCTTTGTACTTTGTATTTCTTTACTCTAGAATCCATTTTGTTGCATGTTCATGGAGTGATTCTATTTTGTTTGTGTGTCTTTAAGTATGAACACCAAATTCGAACATTATATGCCATTCTAAGTCTAAATTATGTCATGAATTGTTAGCATTTTCCATCAATATAATCAGGGAAACCGGCAGGCCGGACTTGAGTCCTGGAGATGGGAAGTACAGTGCCTGCACTCTGAAGGAGGGGTGTTAATGTTGCAGTTTAAAAACTGTAGTGTAAAGCACCCTTCTGGCAAGACAGTGATGGAGTGAATGATGGTGAAAGTTTTTCTTTTTCGGGCCACCCTGCCTTGGTGGGAATCGGCCGGTGTGATAATAAAAAAAAATAAAATAATAAATAATAATCAAAAGTATTCCTGAAGTTTTGTAATCATTATACTGTACAGTTAAATCCTGTAATCCACATACTTGATGATTTGCATAATTCACTTATACAAAGTTTTTGCTTCAAGCCACTTAGTGAATAACATTGATTATTTACATTTATTTTGTGCCTGTTGTTATTGTACTTGGCATACAACCCCTAAATTGTTGCTTTAGCACATGACCAATAAATTGAAAAATAGCCATAGGATTTCCTTCAAAATGTACTCATACTTTCTTATGAGTGTCAATATGAAACAGATGTTTAAAGACACTTATGTAGTGTGAGGTCACTTAACTGTGGAAATGTTTTGCCAACCAGGGACTTTATAAATCTGATACAGAAAAATAAATTACCGATATATCTAGTAGCGTACAGGTCAGGTGTAGTATAGAAAGGATGCACAAAATCTTCAGCGACATCTGATGTCTGTGACCTGATGGCCTAAAATCAATTTGGCTAATAATTTGGAGTTATTAAATCTTCCTGTGTTCTGTACAGTTGTATTGGTAATGCAGATGACTGTAGACTCTTCACAAATCTTCTTTCTTAATGATAAGTCTTGCTTCATTTCACCTTGTCAAGTGGTCGTGGCTACTCCACATTGTCTGTATGGTAGGCAGATTACATATATGTTCGTGGACATGGGTGTGTATGTCCCCCAGCTGTTTCTCCTATATATATTTTCTCGCATACTCCATATGGTATTACATAAACTCCAGGTTTTGCTTCAGTAAAAGTCATAGGCTTCCATCCAATTATGTGCCTCATTATAGTGCTGGTGGTTGCTCTATGATTTCACTTAGCAAAGACACTTGAAATGTTTTTAGCCACCACTTTTTTTGGGGTTATCCTTGGTAATTTATATACACTGGACCCCCGGTTAACGAACTTTTTTCATTCCAGTAGTATGTTCAGGTGCCAGTACTGACCGAATTTTTTCCCATAAGGAATATTGTGAAGTAGATTAGTCCATTTCAGACCCCCAAACATACACGTACAAACGCACTTACATAAATACACTTACATAATTGGTCGCATTTGGAGGTGATCGTTAAGCGGGGGTCCACTGTATATGTTACTATGTATGATAATTGTACTTGTATGTAACTGTACCTGAATAAATTTATTTACCATACTGTTACAGTGGATGACGAATCTTTTCTGAGATTCCTCTACAGTTGCATGTGTCTTTTAATAATTTACTTATAATTTTTGTAAGGTGTTTTTCTTAATTTTTTCATCCACTAACATATTCATAAGATTATATATTTCTTCTTATATATCATCTGTATACTGTAGTAGTCTTTTATTAAATTTAAAATATTTTCTTTTAAAAATATTTGTAAAAATATTCTACTAAATATCTCAGTAATTTCTACTTCTGATTCATCAAATTTATTGTTACTGTTAATTCTTTGTATTTGTTCTTTCCCACTTAATTCTTTGAAAGTTTACAGGTTTCATCGGCAGTTGCAAGACACTTTATTTCTTTGCTGAAGTTGTTTAAATTGAAAGAAATCTTATTCTTTTTCCCCACTCTTCCCTTTTCTTTCCTGTCCTTTCTTCTCTTTCCTTCTCACAGACTCAGTTCATAACGGGTCTAATCGCTGCCCTTGTCATCGCTGCTGGCTTCACTCTAGGCTGCTTTGTCTACAAGAATCAGTGGAGACCTAAAGTCCAAGATAATGGTAAGTGGACTGGAACATTTTTTTTTTATTTCTGATTGAAAAAGCACATACCAAGAGCTTTGGCAAGGGAAATGCTGTGTAAGTTCCCTTTCTCCCTAAAAATTGCAAAAAAAAAAAAAAAAAAAAAAAAAAATGTTGAGATTTTTTTATGTGTGAATTATGTTACTGCTTTCTGCCTCAAAATACACGAACTTATAATATTGCTAGTATACTTAGAAATACATGTATCCAGTTCTACATTGTTAAATTATCAAATTCTCTGGCTCATTACTATCAGATCTGAATATTGTATTATTATCTTTCAATTATTATTATTATTATAATTTTTATTATTTTTAACACACCAGCAGTCTCCTACTGAGGTAGGGTAACCCCAGAAAAAAGGAAACACATTCACCGTTATTCACTCAGTAGCTGTTTTGCCTGAAGTGTGCTTACATCACAATTCAAATGTGCTTCTGAAATTCAGCATCACCCCTCCTTTGGAGGAATGGGGATATTGCAGTTTGGATAGACATTTGAGCTGTAATGTACATACACCTCTGGAAAGACAGTAATAAGGGTGAGGGATGGTGAAAGTGTTTCCTCTTTTTCAGGTCATCCTACCTCAGTGAAAGACATCAAATGTTTTAAACAAAATGTTATTACTACTTTTATTGTTATTATTATTTCGTATTATTATAGTTTATACTATTACCATTTATACTATTAGCCATAATACCAACTTACCTCATAATTTGTAATATTTTAAATTTAAGAATTAAACTAAGTCTGCCCGAAATGCCTAGCCATGCTAGGTGTTCTAGTGGTACACTCTGTAATTATTATTTTACTACTTGTAAACCACACAATAACCAAATTCTGTAAACTCAGCATTGTAATCCTTATAGAGAATAAACTTTGAATTTGAATTGGTGGCACCAAGGGAAAGGGGGTAGCTTCATCCCTCCCAAAATTCCTATAGCCTCTCTAAAATTACCAGATGAAAATAGTAATAATACAGCTGTTTCCAAAGAAGTCTCCCAGTTCCCTCATCCATCATGACAGCCACCCCTAATCTCCACCAGTACAGAAATTCTGGCACCACCCCTGACCATTACTGTGATGGTTACTGCAGTAATAATATTACTTATAGTTTTTTAGGTTTTTATAATTATTAATATATTTAATATTGTTGTCATCTTCGTCATCTTTCCTCAGCGGATGAGCCCATTGTCAGGAGCGATGGGTATGACAATCCGGTCATGAATAATGTGGATGATATAGAGGCGTCTAACACCAAGATGTAGTGTTATCTAACACAAGGATGTAGTGTCATCCAACACCAGGAAGAAGTGTCGTCCAACATTAAGATGCACTGTCGTCCAACTTATAGATATAGAGGTTTCGAACACCAGGATGTAGTGCCGTCCAACACCAGGATGTAGTGTCGTCCAACACAGATATAGTCATTTCTAACACCAGAATGTAGTGTTGTCCAACACATAGATATAGTCGTTTCCAACACCAGGATGTGGTGTTGACCATCAGGATATAGTTCCGTCCAGCACCAGGATGTAGTGTTGTCCATCAGGATATAGTTCCGTCCAACACCAGGATGTAGTTCCATCCAACACCAGGATGTAGTGTCGTCCAACACCAGGATGTAGTGTTGCCCATCACCAGGATATAGTTCCGTCCAACACCAGGATGTAGTGCCGTCCAACACCGGGATGTAGTATCATCTAACACAGAGATATAGAGGTTTCCAACACCAAATGTAAAGTTGTCAAACACCAAGTTATAGAGGTGTTCAACACCAGGATATAGAGTTGTTCAACACCAAGATATAGAGATGTTCAACACTAGGATATAGAGGTGTTCAGCACCAAGATTTAGAGGTGTTCAACACCAAGATAGAGAGATGTTAAACACCAAAGATATAACAAACTTACACTGAAACTTTGCTTTATCACAGAGACACATTTTCACATTTTCACCATTTTGGTCCAAAGAAATATTGCAATAAAATTTAAATGTCAAAATCTATATATACCATATAGTATAAGCTTATGAATGAAAATTATAATTTTTTATTGAAAACAAGATTTTAACTACACATACATTATTTACTGTAATACAGTACCTGCACACTGATGGAGGGTGGGGATATTTGCAGTATGGAGGGGCATCTGATTTATAGTATCAGTGTGCCTCTGGCTAGAGAGTGCTTAGTGTGAGTGATGGTGAAAATATTTCTTCTTTTTTTGCATCACTCTGCCTCAGTGGGAGATGGCTGATGTGTTAAAAAAAGTTACATGATAATCTAGTAAGGACTAATTTTTTTTTTTTTTTTTTTTTTTTTTTATCCAACAAGTTGGCCGTCTCCCACTGAGGCAGGGTGATCCAAAAAAAGAAAGAAAATCCCCCAAAAGAAAATACTTTCATCATCATTCAACACTTTCACCCCACACATAATCACTGTTTTTGCAGAGGTGCTCAGAATACAGCAGTTTAGAAGCATATACGTATAAAGATACACAACATATCCCTCCAAACTGCCAATATTCCAAACCTCTCAAAGTGCAGGCATTGTAAATAGCACCATTTATTATGAATGTATAAAATCTATTATTGTATTATCTTTATATGAAAGATTCATTTTTTGTTTTTGCAAGATTCATTTTTAAGCATTTTCATTATTATTACTGTATATTTTGGCAAATAATATTTAAAAAAAGCATCTTATAGCTACTGTATTAATCAATGGCAATGTAAATGAGGTAATTTTATGCATATTTTAGCAAATTAAAAACCATAAAACTTCCTTTTTTGTTTTCCTGTTCTGTATAAAAAAGTATTATAAGGAGCCCAGTTGTTCTGGACTACTGCTGTAAAGTGAAAATCACTTTAAACTGAAACAAAGCCTTTTTTCCACTTTCAAATGCATATAAAAGTCTGATAACATGTTTACACTTATCATATACAGTGGACCCCCGGTTAATGATATTTTTTCACTCCAGAAGTATGTTCAGGTGCCAGTACTGACCGAATTTGTTCCCATAAGAAATATTGTGAAGTAGATTAGTCCATTTCAGACCCCCAAACATACACATACAAACGCACTTACATAAATACACTTACATAATTGGTCGCATTCGGAGGTAATCGTTATGCGGGGGTCCACTGTATTAAGTGAGCATGTACAGTACACATGTTACTTACCTTAAAATATATTCATCCTTAGCTTATAGTGATTGGTGATTATATTTATTATAGGTAGCCTGAATAAATGATAAGTGAGTGTAATTGAAAACTGTTGTATTAGCAAAACACTGTAAAGCAAAGTGTTGTAAAGTGGGGCCCTCCTTTACATGGTAATACTTGTGACTTAAGGTGTGTAGGATAGCAGATCTTGCCAAGAAAAGAGCTAAAAACATGCTTGGCATACAGCAAACTTGTATTATAAAGGTAGACCTTTGTCAAATCATGATTTATTAAGCTTATCAAGAGTCTTTTTTCATGGGATGTGCCTTGATGTCAGTGAGGGGCCTTTGATCCAAGGAAGTGGACCTGTCCTCTCCTGCAAGTACAGTGAAAACTCAGTTTAATGGACCCTGATTTAACAGATTTTGGGCTTAACCAACAAAATTTGTGGCCAGATAAAATCCTACCTTACCTTGGTGGGAGACAGCCTGTGTGTTAAAGAAAAAAATATATCAATAATAGACATTCCTGGATTTAGACTGTCCATTAAATTCAAAATAAATTTACCCAGCAGGCTGCAAAAATAACCAACACTTCTGGATTTTATGAACTTATTCCATTATTTGTGGATATTATCCAGCTACAGATTTTGTCAGTTAAACCCAAAATCTATTAAATCAGGGTCCATTAAACTGAGATTTTGCCATTTGACCCTTGCAGGTTTAGCACCTCCCATGACAGGTAGGAATAATAATCTTCCCAAAGTGAAATATTGTGTACAAGTTGCATCCTGGGAAAAAGGATAAGAGGATGCCCGTAGAAGAGACTCTGATGACATCCTGAATTTAGCTTCACATTCTGTTAAATTACCAAATGCTGTTTGACTCATTACTATCAGATTGGTAGATCTACTTTAGATTCATAAAAACTGCACTACTATCAAGGCTGAGCACCTTCAAATTCCTGCTTCATATGTACCGTGTCTGTTAATTATTCTCTGCATTGCAAAAATCTTCAGCACTTGCTCCAGGCAATTCACTTACTTGAATAAATCATTTCACTGCACCACTTTGGAGTTAGGTATTATGAAGTTCCATTCACCCCAGCTTGCATGTAAAACCACAGTTTTACATCTTTATATACGTATGAAGATACATAACATATCCCTCCAAACTGCCAGTATCCCAAACCCCTCCTTTAAAGTGCAGGCATTGTACTTCCCATTTCCAGGACTCAAGTCCGGCTATATAAAAATAACCGGTTTCCCTGAATCCCTTCACTAAATATTACCCTGCTCACACTCAAACAGCTCGTCACGTCCCAAATAACATTCGTCTCCATTCACTCTTATCTAACATGCTCACACACACTTGCTGGAAGTTCAAGCCCCTTGCCCGCAAAACCTCCTTTACCCCCGCCCTCCAACCTTTTCGAGGATGATCCCTACCCTGCCTTCCTTCCCCTACAGATTTATATGCTCTCCATGTCATTCTACTTTGATCCATTCTCTCTATGACCAAACCTTCTCAACAACCCCTCTTCAGCCCTCTGACTAATACTTTTATTAACTCCACACCTTCTCCTATTTTCCACATTCCGAATTTTCTGCATAATATTTATACCACACATTGCCCTTAGACAGGACATCTCCATTGCCTCCAACCGCCTCCTTGCTGCAGCATTTACAACCCAAGCTATACTATACTTTCGTACATTCCCTTCTTTGCCTCCATAGATAACGTTTTTTGTCTCTACATATATCTCAACGCACCACTCGCCTTTTTTCCTTCATCAGTTCTATGATTAACCTCATCCTTCATAAATCCATCCACTGACACATCAGCTCCCAAATACGTATCTGAAAACATTCACTTCTTCCATACTCCCCAATTTGATATCCAATTTTTCTTTATCTAAATCATTTGATTCCCTCATCACCTTACTCTTTTCTATGTTCACTTTCAACTTTCTACCTTTACACACACTCCCAAACTCATCCACTAACCTTTGCAATTTTTCTTTAGAATCTCCCATAAACACAGTATCATCAGTAAAAAGTAACTGTGTCAATTCCCATTTTGTATTTGATTCCCCACAATTTAATCCCACCCCTCTCCTGAACACCCTAGCAGTTACTTCTTTTACAACCCCATCTATAAATATATTAAACAACCATGGTGACATTACCCATCCCTGTCTAAGACCTACTTTTACCGGGAAGTAGTCTCCCTCTCTTCTACACCCCCTAACCTGAGCCTCACTGTCCTCATAAAAACTCTTTACAGCATTTAGTAACTTACTGCCTATTCCATATACTTGCAGCATCTGCCACATTGCTCCCCTATCCACTCTATCATATGCCTTTTCTAAATCCATAAATGCAATAAAAACTTCCCTACCTTTATCTAAATATTGTTCACATATATGCTTCAATGTAAACACTTGATCTACACATCCCCTACCCACTCTAAAACCTCCTTGCTCATCCGCAATCCTACATTCTGTCTTACCTCTAATTCTTTCAATAATAACCCTACCATACACTTTAACTGGTATGATCAGTAAACTTATTCCTTTATAATTTTTACACTCTCTTTTATCCCCCTTCCCTTTATATAAAGGGACTATACATGCTCTCCACCAATCCCTAGGTACCTTCCCCTCTTTCATACATTTATTAAACAAAAATACCAATCACTCCAACACTATATCCCCCCCTGCTTTTAACATTTCTGTCATGATCCCATCAGTTCCAGCTCTTCTTCACTCCTAAAAGATGGTATACCTCCCTGGCCAGTGCATGAAATTATCGCCTCCCTTTCTTCGTCGACATTTAAAAGTTCCTCAAAATATTCTCGCCATCTACCCAATACCTCCATCTCCCCATCTACTAACTCCCCTACTCTGTTTTTAAGTGACAAATCCATTCATTCCCTATGCTTTCTTAACATGTTTAACTCACTCAGGCCTACTGCCTCTTGAGAGTTCCCAGAGCTACTGCCTCTTGAGAGTTCCCAGGCCTACTGCCCCTTGACAGTTCCCAGGCTTACTGCCTCTTGAGAGTTCCCAAAGCTACTGCCTCTTGAGAGTTCCCAGAGCTACTGCCCCTTGACAGTTCCCAGGCCTACTGCCTCTTGAGAGTTCCCAGAGCTACTGCCTCTTGAGAGTTCCCAGGCCTACTGCCTCTTGAGAGTTCCCAGAGCTACTGCCTCTTGAGAGTTCCCAGGCCTACTGCCTCTTGAGAGTTCCCAGAGCTACTGCCTTTTGAGAGTTCCCAGGACTACTGCCTCTTGAGAGTTCCCAGGACTACTGCCTCTTGAGAGTTCCCAGGACTACTGCCTCTTGAGAGTTCCCAGGCCTACTGCCTCTTGAGAGCTCCCAGAGCTACTGCCTCTTGAGAGTTCCCAGAGCTACTGCCTTTTGAGAGTTCCCAGGACTACTGCCTCTTGAGAGTTCCCAGGACTACTGCCTCTTGAGAGTTCCCAGGACTACTGCCTCTTGAGAGTTCCCAGGACTACTGCCTCTTGAGAGTTCCCAGGACTACTGCCTCTTGAGAGTTCCCAGGACTACTGCCTCTTGAGAGTTCCCAGGACTACTGCCTCTTGAGAGTTCCCAGGACTACTGCCTCTTGAGAGTTCCCAGGACTACTGCCTCTTGAGAGTTCCCAGGACTACTGCCTCTTGAGAGTTCCCAGGACTACTGCCTCTTGAGAGTTCCCAGGACTACTGCCTCTTGAGAGTTCCCAGGACTACTGCCTCTTGAGAGTTCCCAGGACTACTGCCTCTTGAGAGTTCCCAGGACTACTGCCTCTTGAGAGTTCCCAGGACTACTGCCTCTTGAGAGTTCCAGGACTACTGCCTCTTGAGAGTTCCCAGGACTACTGCCTCTTGAGAGTTCCCAGGACTACTGCCTCTTGAGAGTTCCCAGGACTACTGCCTCTTGAGAATTCCCAGGACTACTGCCTCTTGAGAGTTCCCAGGACTACTGCCTCTTGAGAGGCATACATGAGGTATACATGATAAAGAACACAAAAGATATATGTTAAACTCTCATGTACAACCGGAATTTAAAAAAAAAAAAGTAATGCAAGAGCTGGACCTAAATTTTTGACACAGACTGCAATTAATGCCAGATGTTCATTTATCACGGATGACTTGTAGTATAGTTTACCGACTGTTGCAACTACTACTAGAGTAGGATTGATGTTGGTGAGGGGCTCATGATTTAGGGAATTGGATCTGTGCTCCAGTTCCCCGAATTAAGCCTGAATGCCTTCCACATCCCCCCCCCCCAGGCGCTGTATAATCCTCCGGGTTTAGCGCTTCCCCCTTGATTATAATAATAATAATACTAGAGTAGGACTCATCCCCTTTTCTCTTATTCCTACCCCCCTCTTCACCTACCTCTCTCCAAGCACGTCCCAGGTTCCTTACACACAAGGTTAATGGATGCTGGGCCCTCATTCATTTCGGGTAAATACAAGTGACACGCATTAGCATGGTCCCGGACCTTAGACTCATTTGTCAGCTCTTCATTTAGCATGTTTTCCTGGAGAGCTCAAGAGATCCGGATGTGTCAACTTTCACGACTTCGCGCCCAGTGGAAAATCGAGAAAGCTCG